ACTCACACACACACACACACACACACACACACACACACACACACACACACACACATATATATATATATATATATATATATATATATATATTGTTGCATGTATTTATAGGAAAATGCTTGCATGATAATCTTAGCTAATTAAAATTATGTTTTTTGCTGCTTTAATTCGTGTTGAGTTATAAAATATAAAGACTTGTTAGATCGTTACAATACAAATACAATAATTTTCATGCAGGTGAATTTAATGAAATAAATTTTATATCATAATCAATTACAAAAGGATTCAAATTCATGTCTCAAACAAATAACCTATATTTCTAAAAAAGATTAAATTGACCAAAATTTAAAAATATAAAACCAAAATAAATCTTTTAAAAATAAATGACCAAAATGAATCATAAAAAAAAATGTTAAAAGTATAATCTTTTCAATAATTATTTTTAATATTTTATATATATTTTTTGTTTAATATATTTACTTTTATTTCTTTAAATATGTTGAATTATTGGTTCTCTTTCATGCTCTTGACAAAATATAAAAAAAAGAATAACATATTATTTTATATGATGCGAATTCTACCATGATCTTAAAGTTAGTTAATAAAAATAAGAATCACTTTCATTTTCACTTTTTTTTTTCATAATGCTTAAAAAATTGTTATAATATTAATTATCTTAGAGAAAATTGTTATACACTTGTAAAACCAATTCCTATGTTTGATTCACTTATAAAATATGATGAAAATCATGATGTTTTTTTTTAGTATTGAAATCATTCGCCACTTTAACTAATTTATTTATTTATTATTAATATCTGATACTATGAAAATGTTGCACTTTTTGTTATACTTTTTGTTCTTTACTTACCTTTTGTAATTTTAATTCGTAAAAAATAAAGAAATCATTCCTTTTTAAATGGTGATTAACATTATCAAGATTATTTAATTACATGACTTGTATTTAATATTCTAACTTGTTTTGTTAGTGAGTTTGAAAAACAAATAAAATATGTGTGACATTGTCCTTAATCTACCGATTCATGTAGAGTATTATAACATCTCCCGATCAAAAAGTTTGTCATCAACTTTCTTACCAACAATTATTTTATATGTTCGAAATATACTTCAGCCAATATTTTTTTAAAATATATACTCAACTTTAAAAGAATTTACTTTATCTAAAAAAATTAATGATCTATCTTCATACCTTCAAGTCAAAATGTAAATCTACATCCGAATGTCATGCAATTTTTTATTTTTTCCTCAAACGTCATGCCAATATTTAAAACCAGCATTTTGAGTCAACTATGCACATTATATTATACAGCTGCTTGCGTAATACTCTTTTTGTGCAAGAGTTTACTAAAAACCTTCTACATATTTGTGTATTATGATTTTGATAATAGTGATTTTAACAAGAAATTTACACATTCATATGCATATACATTACAAGCAGGAGAATATGCTATCTTTATGATCACGAAGTTAATCTTCTAAACTAATTTATGATAACATCTTAATCTTTTTGGAATTGGAAACCAGCCTAATCAGATGGTTTAACAATTAATACAAACATTTGATTATCCTTTAATACTACAACTACTTCTACACCAGCAACCATCAAGTTTCATGTTATAATCCCAATAATAAATCATTCATTGACAACAATAAAATCCATACAAGTTCTTGATTGGTAATTTCGTCATCCATTATTGAGATCTTAAACGTTTAAGGTAAAACGATTAGATGATGATCATAAACCATCTACAAGTTTCCATTTGTAATCTTTTATTGACTTTTCATCCATTAAAAACTAACCATTTAATATCTGGGAGTTACATTTATCAATTCATATCCTCTAAATAACTTTCATAGTCTTTTAGATTTTTTTTATAACAAAAAAACCCAATATTATTTTCTAGAAACTCCACACAATACACTTCTCCACGATTGCAATAATAATTTAAAGACAGATATTTCCATAATAAATTTGGGAATAAACAACTAATTACCTCTTTCCAATCTAGTCACATTAAACCTTGATATAGCAGAATTTTTTACTATTTAATTGTAGTATCAATCAGGAACGGTTCGGTTTCCTATTATTTTTTTAACAGCATTTCATTGACATTTTGTGTTTTTATATAATTTATTCAAATTTAAATAAAATAAAAGGGATGGTCAATTATAATAAATAAAATAAAATAAAATATATAGTTAAAATATGTACATGAAAGAAAAAATTAATTATTAATTGTATAGTTTATTATTATTATTATTATTTGCATTCAAAATGTAAAAAAAATAACCTGATTGGTAAAATAAAAAATTCAAAACAATAATATAAAATAATAACATATAAACACAATAAAAAATAATAATTGAAGGCATAATTATAGAACCTATTTTAAGTTTTTGATACATTTTTTTTATGGATCCCTTAATAATACATAGGATTTAAGAACTTTTTTAACTTTTGCACAAATGAAAGAATTTAACTTCAATTCTTAATTAAATTTTGTGTAGATTTTACATAATTTTTTTTTCTGTGATCACTTATTCTTGAGAGTTCTTATATTAAAACACTTCTTACAACGATATGATGACACTTAATTAAGAATTACTGTCAAAAATGATCTTTTCAGTTTTTACAGTTGTGTATTTTATGATAGAACAGTTTTATATATTCTAAATTAAATTCTGAATCATCATTAAAATATTAATATCTTTTAAAAAAATTATTATAAAATAATTATTTAATTTAATATTTTATTATTTAAATCAATTTTTAATAATTTAGAACAAGTTTCAAAATATTTTTCCAGAGGATGTAGCAATTTTTTTTATGATAATAACTAAAAAAATAACTATTCATAAAAAAAACAAAACAAACAAGTAAATAACTTCACAACGCATGGATGAACTTTCATGAAGTTTAATTGTGTTTATAATGAGAATCGTTTACAATTTTTATAAAATAATTTTAGCATCTTAATGAAATTTATCAAAATATATAAAAAGAAAAGTTACTTTATTAAATCTCTATAAACGAAAGTAATTTAGTTAATTTTTTTATGAGAATATTTTAGAAATTTTATCAAGTTTCATCCTTTTTAATTTTTAATTTTATAAATTTAAGTATTTATAAATAATAATAATAATTAAAATAATTAATATCATAAAAAAATTATTTATTATAAATTTAAAATATAATTTATATATTTAAAAACATTTATTTAAATAATTTTTATTATAATATATATTAAATATTTAAAATATTAATCAAATATAAATTATAAATATATAAAATAATTATTTATTATATAAACTGCATATACTAAAATATTAATTTTATCATAAATATATAACACAACTTTCTTGAACTAAGTTGGATTAATGAACTATATAACACAATCGCTTATTTAATAAATAATTAAATTTGTTTTTAGTTTCGACATTTTTAAATCATAATTTAGTTTCGACCTTTATTAATCATAATTTTTAATTATTAAATAAATTTTATTTGATTTAACTTCCTAAAACCTTTTTCTATGAATAAAAATATCAATCTTGAGATTGAAAAATATTAATTAGATAAAAAAAATTCAGAAACTAAAAAAGAAATTTTTTTAAAAAATTAAAAATAAAACTAATAAAAAATTGTTTAAAGATTAAAAATGAAAAATAACATGAATTTAATAACTAAAAATATATTTAATTATATAATAAAAGCTTATTCAATGCACTTTGATTTTTTTAGGTAGCATTAAATTTACTTAGAGCATATTTATGAAAGATTAAATTTTTTAACTTTTTTTTTATATTTTATTTTATAAAAAGCACTGTTTACAGAATAATGTGTATGTTTTAGATAATAACTTAAACTTGTAAATAATTTTTTTTTTAAAATGAACTGTTTTTATACACAATTTTTTTAAGAAGTTAAAAATGTGAAACTTATGATTTTTTTTTTAATAATTTTTTATAAAGTAGTTTATTGCATAAAAATTATTTCTTTATATTAAAATAAAATTAAACATCTTAAAATTATTTTATTATAATAATAATAAATTATTAAAATAATTTAATTTTACTACTTTACCAAAAAAACACACTCTTAATAAATTAAATATTACCTAAATGCATGCTAACCGGATTGGTAAAAAAATTGGTAAGGCATTATTATAATATTATTATCTCAAATAATACTTTTTTACACCAATAATTTTATTTTCTTTTAAAAAAAGAGTAATGAGGATTCATATTTCCACCTAAGCACGAGAGCCAAATCCCGAGAATACCTACCTGACCCACCTCCCTACAAAGAAAATAATTTTACTATAATAATAAAATAAAATAACTCTCTTATTTTACCATGTCATGAAATAAAAAAAAAATTTATAGATCCAAACAGAATAAGTAATTTTTAAATTTTATGTTTTTTTCTTTTTTTATTCATTCCTTTTTTGTGGTTTTTCCCTTTTTATTATTTACAATATAAATAATAAATAAATACATGAACCGTACGATAAAGAAATGGAATTATGTAATTGTTTCTCTCCCCATGCTGCTGCGCAGCGTACTCTGTACTCTACACACACAACATTAATTAAGCACTAAGCAATGAACACATAAAAATACAAAAATAATAAAATAATAATATAAATACCAAAAATATTCTATTATTCCTTTTCCCACGGCTTTCACCATTATTTCCTCTCTCTCTCTCGAAACAAACCAGAAAAACAAACCACTCTTTCGTTCGCTCCGTTCGTGCCGTTGTTTTCCGCCGCTGGCTTGGTCGTTAAGCGGCGAACTGTGGCGGCAGTTGCGTCTCCGATGGGAAAGTACATGAAGAAAGCGAAGCCCAAAGGAGAACTCGCGCTGGTGGAGTCCACCACCACCAACACCACCACCTCCTACATGGGGGTTCGAACCCGCGCCAAAACCCTAGCGCTCCAGAAGTCCCACCCTCAGCCCGAACACCCTCCCGCACCCGATTCCTACCTCCAGCTTCGGAGTCGGCGCCTCCGCAAGCCTCCGATTTCGCTCCACTCCCCCAAGCGCCAAAGACACTCCAACCCTAAATCCCCAATCCCCGACCCTCCCAGGCTCGGACTCGCATCGGAGCGCGAGGAGACCGCTCTGCATGAGAATGCGGAGCCTCAGGAAGCCTCCTTCGGAGAAAATGTTTTGGATTTTGAAGGGAGAGAGAGGTGGGTCTTCGCTTCCCTTTTTTGAATTTAACTATAATTCGTTTCGATTTTTCAGTTCCTAAAGCTGGTAACGGGTTTTTTTATATTAAATTTATTATCTTTTTGCGTTTTCTTTCGGAAAAAATAAATAAGCCCTAATTTTTTTTGTTGTTGTTGTTGAGCTTTATGATTTCGTCTTGGTTGGGGGCAAAGTACTATAACGAGAATTTGAAACTGATTTATTTTCCACCCATGGTATTTTGTTCAGTTGAGTTATATCTGTGTTTTTTTTAAGCGATGGTAAAACTCCATAGTCTTGTTCTCTGCAATGTAATTGGGTTCCTTTCACGGATATCAGTTCGAAAGATGATTGAATGTGGGGGGTTTTGTTTTCTCGGTTGAAGTTTATGTGTTGTGTTCCTTTTCAAGCTGTGTATACTGTGTAAGGGGTTTGCTTCATGGCCTCTATTCTCTACGGACATTTGTCTTTTTTGTTTTTTATTTTCTGTGATCTTAATCAGTTATGCATGTCATTCAGGTGAAGAATTTGCTTTTTTATTTTATTTTTATGAAGGTGTTTTCTTCATTTTGTCTTCTATCATACTCTTTTCCCCCAATTCAGGGCTTCACTGGAGAAAGATGTTTTTGTTTTCTCTTCGTGTAAAGCTTTTATTATGTTTTCCTTTCGTGTAGCCTTTTTCTTTGTACAAGTTCAGCTGATATCCTGATAACGCTTCCTAATGATTTGAAGAAGTTATTAGAAAATTATATACAAATTCTAATGATTTGAAGAAGTTATTAGAAAATTATATTCAAAATCTATACAACGGGAATACTTCATTTTTTATACCCTGCTTTTGTTATCCTTACTTTATTGACAAGAAAATGTTGATATTTGATACTTCGTTAGAAATTTCACCCCTTTTTCTCTAGATGATGTTTTTACCTGTTTTACCATCTAGTGATTGAAATATTTCACTATTTTCTCTGGTCATGTACTATTAGATTTGTGCAGAATAATTATAATTATTATTATGCGTAGAACAAAAAAAAAAAAACTCAATTCATATCTTCTATTTATTTTCAACTGAGAGAATGATGGGATGTATATAAAGTATAAACTACAAAAGAAGGGATAATCTTAAGCAATGTCCCTTTTCCTGCAGACTTTCCACATGTTTTATGTATACTGAATATCCTCATAATATCTGATTTGGCATATGCACCATAATTTGAAACCGTGTTCTTTTGGCTTTAAATGTTGTGCTGGCCAGCCTAGAACTTGTGAGCATTACCATTTTGTTTTTCCGTTTTGAGACGGACTCAAGTCTTACCTGAAATATTATTTGTTTTGCTATTATACTTGCCTCTTTTTTTTTTTTTTTTTCCTTCTTCTTTTTTTCCTCGTGTTTCTATTCTACTAGTTTGCGTTAAATTGTTAAATTGATATATTTATTATTGGCATCAGAAGCACCAGGGAATCCACACCTTGCAGTTTGATAAGGGACTCGGATACTGTCAGGACTCCAGGTTCAACTACCAGGCCTACTTGCTCAACTGAAGCCTATCGAAGAACAGAGCATGCAGCTAGAAGGCAAATCCCAACCTCACGTGAAATGGATGAATTCTTTGCTGAAATTGAAGAGGCTCAGCAAAGGCAGTTCATTGAGAAGTATGTTTCAGCGTTTTTTTATATTGGTTTTCTTAGTTCTTTCTTACTCGACTGCAATGTCTGCTACATCCCCACAAACTAATTAATCACGTGAGTTCAATTGCAGGTACAACTTCGATCCCGTGAATGAGAAGCCACTCCCTGGGCGTTATGAATGGGAAAAATTGAAACCCTAGAAGTCTAGTGTAGTGTTCCATCAAGACAGACATGTTTGAAGAAGTATCAGGGGTAGAATTTGTTGAAAGCGGTGGTGGCGTTATTTCCCTTTTCCATCACCTTCTATTTACTTGTAAAGAAAGTAGGAGTCTTAAAAAACTGTGTAGACTAATGGTCTGTAACCTTACAGAGGTGATGATTACACAACAATACAAATCAAGGTCCTTTGTCTAACAGATCATTTTAAGGGGGGCAAGGGAAGGGAAGGGGTTGTATCGCGTAGGATTAGGGATAAGTCAAATTAGGTCAGTATGAGGTACAGGAATTTACTTAGGTTTTCTCTTGTTCTTGTATTTTACTCATCTTTGTCTATACTTGTACTGATGGAACTTGAACAAACTTTTAGAAATAAAGACCCGATTCCCCCACCTAAATTTCTGTCACTTCCTTTGTCATCACTATTAAATATTTGCCCTTTGTTCCGCGAGACACTGAATCTTTCATTTGTTTTTAGATGACACTAGCTGTTTTTGTGGCCCTTAGCAATATTGCTTAAATTTGCTGGTCTTTTATTAAACGTCCTATAGTGGTGGGGCAAAGCTAACATGGAATCTTTTGTCTTCTCTGTTATCATGTAACCTCAAATGACTTTATAACTTTTAATAACCTGACATTGTGGGAGACATTTACGAATTGAAAAATGATGCCTCGCCAGATTGGTATGCTAGCGCAATTTCGACCCTCACTCATGAATCTACGGTAGGTCACAAGTTTTAAAGGGTGGCATTTGGAAAAGATTTTGAGTATGCACATTTTCGACCCCGCACCAAATGTTACTGGCTTATGGAATGTGTCAGCAATTTTTTCTGAAGATAAAATAAGGAAACTAAATCACTGGCCTGGAAAGAATTCCCCTTTTGGACTAGAAATAATTTCCCTTCTTCACTGTAATTTTGAATCGAGAGTGTATGGTAAGTTATTTAAGTTGGTTTATTGTTTATTTCACTACTTCATAAGTTTTTTTTTTAAATCACTAAAATCACAATCACATTACTAAAGTTAGAATTTTAAATTTTATATATTACTTTAACTTCACTATGCCGATAAGTTTGCTTAGCTTAAGTAATTTTAGTGGTTTATAACTTCACTAGAGACTGTTTAAAATGGTATAAAGCTTATTACTATTGATTGTTCTTTTACGCTTAATATTTTATTAAAAACATTTATCGTCTCCTTTAGTATTATTGTCGGAAAGATGTGTGTTATAATGCATATCTGTTGCTAATGTTAATTGTTGGTAAGATCAAAAGAACGAGAACAATTAATTTGTAATGAATACTACTTCAAAAAAAATTGAAATTCAAGGATGTGCATATACAATGTAGCAATTCAAGGTTCAAAGTGAGAAGAAAATTTTAATATGATTGACCTAGTGTTGAGAATTGGAATAATAAGTTTAAATTTTATTGTTGCGATTGTAATTTTTACAAATAAAAAATAGATAAAAAAAAGTGTATACATTAGAATCTAAACTCGCTTTATATATCGTAATAGATAGCATTCATTTTAATAAAATTCATTCTTTAATAGGATACTGATTATTTTAATTATTACCCTATATACTTTTAAATTTGAATGCAATATATGGTCATTAAATAAAAACTAACTAAAAACTTAAATATTGTTATTTCTAAATATATTTTATCTATGAATAAATCATGTAAATAAATATATAAACATATTTATTTTTATGTTATTTTACATTTATCAATAATTTAACAATATGTTTTACCGTATTTCTACTATCTGCTTGAGAAGAAAGATAAAACAAAGAGAAGATTTTCTTTCGTTCTTGTGCGTCTCAAAAAAATAAATAAATAACTCCCCATTGGCATGAAATGGGGGGAGGGGAGAGAACGAAGATCTCTATTTTCTTTTTCTTTTTTGTACTTAAAAAATAGTTATTTTTATAATATTTGTTTTAAATAAATAAATAATATAATTTGATGAAAAAAGTAATGAATTCAAAAGTTTAAATTTTTTGGATTAAACTTAAAAATTTCAATCAGCATAAGAATATTTTTATATGATTTTTTTTTTCACTCTTTCTTTTACTCATCTAAAGTTTTAGAGACAAGCAGAAAGAAAATGTTCACTTCCTTTGTTATTCATCCCATTAACATATCATTTTTATCATTCTTATTTTTCTTCTTCTCTATTATGTTTATAATCCAAACCTATCATTAGTTGACATCTTTGCCAAGGAATTTTTCCCCCCCATGAATTTCTCCATGAAGCAATTTTCAATTTCTAATTATTTCCTTGTGTAAGCACATTTATATTATGCTCATTCATTATATTTTACTGAAGGCATGCCTATGGGTGACAACAAAAGTTTGCATGATGTTTTTGTCTCTGCGGAATCAAAGTTTTACCATCAAATGAATGCTATAAATTTTCAAATACACAATTGAATGAAAAGTTGAATAGAATGAAGCCAAAACAATCGAAAAGTTTCTCCACTGAGTAAAAAAGAACGAGGAATGCGAACTACTGTCACTGCTTAAAAGGGATTCGAGTAATTTATTTACTTTGAAAGTAAATAATTTTATCAAACAGACCTTTACCCTGTACACCTAGGAAATGCCAAGGTTAATTTAACATAATTACATTGCTAACACTGAAATAAAATGAATTCATATGCATGATTTGAATAAAAAAAAATGGTAGTGTGAATTTGTTCCCTTTGATTAGGAAAAGCGTGAATGGAAATTGTTGTTATGGTGGTGAGTGGTACTGAGCGTAACTGAGGGATCTGCAATTCCCAATGAAAACTCTTGTTCCTTTTGCGTGGAAAGGTGATTCTCTACATGCAAATTCAAAAGGGTATTCATTATTTGCTCACCCACGGGAAGACACTTGACAATGAAACAAACTCTCATATCATTCATCCTTTGACTCTATGGGGAATCACACATTGGGTACCTAAATGGACGACCCTGTTCATAATTTAATAATCATAATACCCTTATCCTTATGTAAGATAAGATGCCAACAACATCAAAATGCACTCTCTCTCTATATGTATACAACAATATTAAGATATTGGCTTTTCTTTTTCTTTATAAAATGAATGAGTTTTTTTATTTCCATTTATTAATTTCTCAAAAGCATAAAATTATTATTTTTAGTTTTTATTGTCATATTTTTTATTAATAAAAATTAAGAAGCCTTGTATATATCACCTCAATTTCAACCCTGATGGTTAAGAAAACAAAATAATTTAATAAATTATTGACTGCTTATTAATTGAACCGACGGTCAATTAACTATCTCACATGACATTCACTAATATGCGATATTATATCAGTTTAACTACACGCAAAGTAAATACTTCTAGAAATTTTAAATTAATGATATTTATCTATCTCTACTTTTTTTTTTTTTTATGTAATTTCACTTCAACTTTTGTTAGCAATAGCAAATGTTTGAATATTGTTTTCTAATTGATGTCTTATCATACTCGTTAACAAGGGGAAAAAAAAGGGCAATCATTTAGTTTTAAGAATGTGACATGAAAAGTGGATCACTAACTTAAAAAAGGGAATAAAAGAGAGAGAATTATGATCTTGGGAAAACTTTCCAATATATACCTTGCCCAATATATCGCCTTGAAACGGTCTAACGAAAAAAAAATAATGCTCATATTTCTTTTCTTGTGAGTTTGAATGAGGGGGAAAGGAAAAAAAATCGAAATACTAGTAGATAATAATTTTTTTTTCGTTTAATTGGAAAAAATAGAACGAAGGAAAATAAACTTTTTGACATTTAGAAAAAAAAATAATTATTAGCAATATATATAAGAATGAATAAAATAATATTGTTTTAACTTAATTAAATATTTTATATTTAAATTTTAAGCATATAATTGTACGATCGAGTTTAAATAAAATTATGTCTAGTAGATGATATTTATGATTTGTAAAATAAATACTAATAATTTAAACAATTCTTTGCTTTTCTCTTATTAACTAAATGTTCAAGAAATAATCCCCTTCTTATTCTCTATATTCTCAATCAAACAAAACCTTTGTAGGTTTTAGATAAATAATATACTTTTTTTTGGCTTGTTTTTAATTCTTTCTTCATTCTAAAGTAGGAAAATAATAACTATTTATATCACTATTACATTATGTAAGTTATGTGTATAGGTAATTAAGGATTTAGATTTAAGGTTTAATCAAATTTTACTTATTTTTCAATCAAATCAAATTTGTTTATATTTTGTAGAGCCTATATAAACATAAAGTTTAAAATATTTGTGTATATTTTAATCTTAGTGATCTACATATATCACTTACTAAATTTTCCATACGAACTATTTTAGTATCATTTATGTACTCACGTACGTGTTTATATATATATTTTTATTGATAAATTTAATTATATATAGTAAATATTTAACATATGCATTGAATAGACTATAATATTGTTTACATGTAAATAAATACTAATTTAAATATATAAATTATATTTAAATTTTATATAGATAGATATTTTAAACATATAAATTATTTAAATTTTATATAGATAGATATTTTAAACATATAAATTATATTTTAGATTCATGATAAATAATTTATTATAGTATAAATTATTTTTATTTATTAAACAAATATTTTAAAATATTAACATTTAATTAAAAAATAATTATGATAAATAAAAAAATTAATTAGATTAGAAGTTAAAGGAATTTTTATAAATAAAAAAAAATCCAAAAAAAAAAACAGGCAGTGATTATGTTTAATTTATAAGAAGTGATTAATAATGAGGAACAATACAAAATTGTTTGACCTTAAGAACTAAAGTGTCGTCTTTGGATAGATTTTTTTTTTTTTTTTTGCATAATCCTAAACATAGCAATATTACCTTTTAAAGCCTTAGGTCTCGTGTCAAATATTTTAACACATTTCAAACTTTTATAAATACAATTATTGTCATTGTATAGGTAAACATTTTACATATCGTCATTATTGTTAACATGAGTGGAGAAATGCATTTTCTATGTACTTACCTTGTGTCCATGACAACTCAATTGTGTCAAAGATCAACACCGTTTGTGACATAACTTTTAACTTAAACCACAACAATACAATTTGATTAGAGCAATCTATAATTTGGTCAAAGTCAATAATTCAACTTTAGATACAATAAAGAATTGAACTCAAAGTTATTCATATTGGTTGAGTCATTGTGGTAATTTCAGGTTACTTGACATCTTTGATAAAGAATCAACTCAAGACATGAGTGATAAAAAGAAACTTTAATTGTGGAAAAATTAAGTTTCATCAAGTTGAATTGAATTAGTTCATTTTATAAAAATAATTAATCTTTTTTATAAAATGAATATTTTTTTAAATGATTCATTTTTTAAATGAATGAATTTAAATACAATTTATTTATCCATTGTATATTATATATGATATGTTTTTGTTTTCTTTTAAAAAATCAAACTAATCTATTTCATAAAAGTACTTCAATTAATCAAAGTGTTTTATAAAATGGTTTAGTTTGTTTTTTCTTTCTCGTAATGATTCAATTTTATCTAAATTGAATTGGCTTGGTTTGATTCAACTTTATTTCATCCCTCTATTTGATATAATACTTTTGTTGCGTACTAATGACATCATGTACAAGGTCTAAATCTAAAAGGAATTAAGAGAAGTAGTTAAACTTGAAAAAAAAAATGTTCAAATTCTTAGTGAACTTTTGGTCACTTTAAATATCTAACTTTCTTTTATATATATATTTTTTTTCTCATAAATATTTTCTTAATCTTGATATTGTATTTTCTGGTTAAATAGTTTAGAAAATTATTTTTATTGTAATTTTTAGAGTTGTAAAGAGTATTTAGGGTGTGTAACTAGAAAACGAGGCATGAGTTTATTGGGTTTGAATGACCCATGTAAGCATCTCTTGAACGAATGATCCATGTGCTTGGATGGCCACTTAGTGGACAAGGTTATCTCATAGTCATTTAAGTTTCCAACAAGTCACATGTGTCACACTCACACTTTTGACACATTGTCATGTAATAAGTCCCAAATGGCTTTTTTAGATCTAAGATGTTGACATAAACTACATTTTTTGTACCTTACCATGTGACAAACTTCTATTAGTTCTTATAAATTTATGATAATGATATTTTTAGGAGAAAAAATTGAAATTCAAATTATAACTATTAACCATAATTAATTTAAATTACCTAACTTTATATATAGATGTTTCCTCTGCAAGGTTGGATACTTTTGAATGAATAAAATAAAAATCATATTCCTCTCAAAAGTTTTTAGTTCTTTATTTGGAGAATCTTCATCTTTACAAACTTTTATCAAATAATTTTTTTTCGTGACAATTTATTCACCCTGAAGTGACACACATCCTCCTTTTGACTCTCCACCATTTTCTAGTTTGCTTTCAAACTTAAAAGTCCATCGATAAAGATCAAAACATCAACGAAGCTAGTTACAGAGAAAAAAAACATCTCATCCCGATCACACAAAGAACTCCACAAAATGTTGGTTGAATGAATTGATAATATATTTTTTTCAATTAAATGCATTTATCATTGTTGCCATATGACACAAACGTAAAATTAAAATATTTAAACTAATACATGATGTTCCTAATTAGTTAATTTTCATCTCAATCAAAGCCTAACCTTTATGAATAAATCATTAGTCCTCATTTACTCTATCAACTAAACAACTTCTCCTTAAACCAATGCTTCAAACACAAGAAAAACTAAATAAAATTATTAAATCACTTTAGGTAAGAATTGGATAACAATAATAAAAATTTAAAAGTTAAATACTTACTCCTATATTATAAATTGGAATTATCATTTTATAGTGTGAATCCTACTCTTTTTCACACACCTAATTCTCAACAATCCATCTTTTCTCTTTTTTTTTTTTTTTTTTTGATAAGCTCCATCTTTTCTCTTCAAAAGATACAAGCTAACAAAAATAATATTTCTTAACTATATTTCTAAACTTATATATTTTAAAATATTTCGTGTCAGTTTCCCGCCTTCACCAGTCACCACACTCGAATCAGAGACAGATGCTATGGAACCCTAATGGAGGACGCAAAGAGACTATACCAATCCCTCTCCAACGCCACCGCTGAAGGTCCAATTCTCAAAGACAAAGACCTTCGCAGCGTCTGCGAAACCCTCTTCGACCAACTCAACTCCGCCTTCGGCCAGTTCTGCTCCGCTCTGCCTCTGCGCCACCATGACCGTCACGCTCCGCCTCTTCCGCCTCCGCATTCACGGCTGCGGCCAGTTGTTGAAGACCTTTCTCTCCTTCTGCGTTGCAGTCTTCTTCTCATGACGCTCCCGCACCCCGACCAGAGGTTCCTCCTCCTCAAGTGCCGCTCCCTTCTCCGCGTCTTGAACTCCTTCCTCTCTCTCGATCTCATACAAGGAGACCTTTCCGATTCTTGCCGTCCGTTTCTATGCGCGCTGTTTGAGGTAGTAGCTTCGGTGTTCAGATTGTTATTATTATTATTTCTTGTTATCTGCAGCTAGATGCTCCAATTAGTTGCTCAATGTTATCGTACATGATAGTATTAGGGGCCAATTGGATAAACTTTTCTGCTATGAAACCCAAATACTCCAAACATGTAGAAATATCGTGTTTAATACCGATACTCCTCAGTCCTCAGATACTTTTGGTTCAAAAAGTATCCCATTTTTTTTTAATTAATTTTTTAGTTTTTTTTTATCGGATACTTTCTGGATACTTCTAGATATGTATCTGGAAAATATTAAAAAATCTTGTCTTAAGCTTTTTATATAGTCATGTTTTTTTGTCATGCTATGGAAGGAATTGAAGTATATACTCCTTTTATTCATTCTTTGAAGAAAAATAAAATGGATCCAAAAGTGTAGAAGATTTGGTTTATGTGTATTTCAATCTTTTACTCGTCTATGAAAGATGAAGGGTATAAAAACGGAGAGACTAAGTTGTTGGACATTGGTAGAGATATATATATCATTCATTTGATGATGGTGTTATACTTCTTGCATGACAGAGTTATCTCTTAGCCAAACTTGGAATCTGTGCTTTTTTTCTAGATGATGGTAACAAGACGGAAGAAAGCGATACAAATAGCATTAGACAATAATTTAGTAATGATGTTTTTGAGTCATAGACTATTGTATAGAACCAATATTAGTTTTAAGTTCTACCAAAGATGCTTTTATTAATATAGTTAATTTGATATGGTCAAAAACTGTATATATTTTGTTATAATCACAAATTTCTTTTTTGTAAATTGTAATCATCATAGTCATGAATCAATGAGAAAAAATTAATGTCTCTTTACCAATATTCTACATTTATATAAAATTTTCTATAAAATTTCATTAACTTGTACAAAACGAATTGTACCCTAAAATTTTAAAAAATTGTCATATATCCGTATTGATGTCGTATTGTATCTGTGTCATACCAAATATCTAAGCTTCATAAGGAAGCACTTCTGAGAGAAAAAGGGAAAAACTTATGTATAAGTTATTCTGTAATTCTTTGCATAAGCTATATGAGAGAGTTTTTACAATTTAGCTTATGCATAAGCTAATTTTAGCTTAAGGAAAAATTTATTTCATTTTTGCTTCCTATTTTTTTCCTCCCAAAAGTGATTTCGGAGAAGTTTATCCAAATAGGTCCTAGGTATCAAATTAGGATTTAGCTTTAGGCTTGAGCTCTTTTTTGCATATTTAGTTTTTAAATCTATAATTCCAAGATTTCTGCTATTATTATTATTATTTTTTTTTTTTTGTAGATTTAGGGTCTGTTTGGTAAATTTATTCAGAAGTACTTTTAGGAAAGAAAAAAGAAATAAGCTTCTTTATAGCTAAATTTAACTTATGTATAAGCTAATTTGTAAAAGTTATCTTCTATTAACTATAACTTATCAGATATTTTATTTTTAACTTATGCATAAGTTAGTTTTAGCTATGAAGAAATTTATTTCAATTTTCTTTCATATTTTTTTTCTTAGAAGTACTTTTGGGTAAATTTATCCTAACAAACCTTTAGTTTAGACTGTCGCATGGATTAAATTAAACAATGCTGTTTGACTGAGTGTGCGATAAACATTTCTTTTTTCTCTAGCTACTTAGAGTAAAGTATTTTTTAGGGGTTTCTGTTGAGCTTTTCCTTTTCCGTTTTGATCTGACTAATTTTTAGTTGATCCGTTGGTGTCTGACATGACCAAATCGGCTTGGACCCCTGGAAGACTTTCTTTCATCATCTCTCGAATGCATTGCAATTGTTCCTGTTCTTATTTTTGTATGTCTTTTCGTCCTATGCATTCTAATCTGCACTATACTTATTTTTGTACTCTCGTTTTCGTTTCCAATTTGCTGCCTGAGCCTAAACTCGTTGGACCGATGTAATGTAGCAATGAGGTTCTGCTTTTAATTTGATGGTAAAGTCTTATAGTTTTTGGAAATAAAATGAAGTGGAGAGAAGTCAGGAGATGGGAAAAAATAGTTTTGTTTCATCAATTAATTTTAGTTTTTAGATTCAATTTCAATGTCTATGTAATAGTGGTATTAATGAATATTACAAAAGTGGCTGGCCAGTGCACGAGGCTCCCACCTGGTGAAGTCCGGGGAGGGTAGATATACACAGTTTTACCCCTGCAAGCAAGGAGGTTGCTTCCGGGATTTGAACTTGTAACTTCTAGGTCTCAAGGCAACAATCCTACTGTTGTGCCAGGCAATCTAATATTCTGCTCTATGCCATTATATATTGTTGTGTGCATCTTAAACATCTGTGACACACGAATTTGTATAGGATTCTTACTGGAGTTCTATCCATCTAAATTTGAAAATGTTATCCCAGGTATTTGCAGATGAACTTTTAAGACATCAATCTTTGAGAAGATATCTTATGATTGCTGATTCAGTGTCCTCCGACAGTGAAAAACTTTTCGTGTGCCATTTCAACCATGGTGATATTGCTAGTGTCCTGGAGGTGATGTCTTCCCATTTCACCCTGTCAATTTCTAACGAGAAAGCGTTTGAGGATTTCATAAGTAGACTATTTATACATTGTGACAAGGATTTTAGATTTACCGAACTTAGCCTTGTGCCCTCCATGATGTTGCTGCTTGATCCTGTTGTGCTTTCTGCGCCAAAGATGTTCCAGGCACACATAATTTCAATGGTTTCTGAAGCCATTGGTTCTGGCTTATCTTCAGAGATTTTAGCTCCAGATATGAACTGCCACCTAACAGCACTTCAAAAATCTGTCATCTTGTACACTATGCATGCGTCTAGTTTGCAAATAGATGGTTTTCATGTAGAATTGAAATGTTCCTATAATTCATACCTGCTTGAGAGAGGTCACCCAACTTTTGAATCTTATATCCAGCAAGGCACAAGGAACAGATTAAATCAAGTCTTATTACAATCAGATAATTCATGGGATTCCTGTCGATGCAAAATGTCCTCCAAAACAAAAGCTGACCTTTTGGCCAAGTACATTGCATTTATGAAAGAGAGGGAGTACATATTTATTGATTCGTTCAGGGACGTGACTACCTCAATTTTGGATTGTATAATCCATCAAGCTTTCTCTCAGGATGCCACTGGGGATTCATTATACAAAATAACGGAAAGTACTAGTGCCCAAGATATATGTCTTCTTGCGTCCATATTGAAGTTGATGAGTGTTTCGTTGCTACAGGCAATCAAATATCTAAGTAATGGTGGTGATTCACATTGTGTGAAAACCATGCGAAGTGCCTATATGCGCGAGAAATATGATTTCTTGATCAGTATCATTGATCATTTTCAACAGTTTAAGTTCTCTTTACCAATTCAAACTTTCTTGTATGACAATATGATGAAAAGTCAGCAATCAAATTACCAAGTCTCCAAGTCAATGCTTCTGCACTTCATAGGCCTGCTATCTTTAAGTTTCAGCAATGGACTTGATTTGCTAGCAAAGGGGTGTATATCTGTACTTATGTCACTGATGTGTCTGTTTGTTTTTGAAGAGGGAGATTTAGTATCTTTGGGGTCATTGAGGGGTCTGTCATTGCGACCTTGCTCATCTGAAATTCCATCAGATAAGAGTGGAAAGGTGAATTGTGCTTTCAGTTCTCACGAGCTTAAATTTAGTTTGTATTTCATGCTAAATTATTGGTAAATTTTGCAGGGGGCTAGAGATAAGCGGTCTGTCTATCAAGTTGCAGTAGAGTTTTGTAGAATTCGACCATGTAATTTAAGGTACATGTTGTATTTATTTCTTTTTGGCCTTTATGTAATGTAGTATTTTCAATATACATATTCTCAATTTCTCTATTTACAAATATCCTTAGCTAGCCACTTAGGCTTGCTTAAGTGGTAAGGAAATACTGGGGTTTGAGTAGCCATCATAAGTTCAATTCATTTGTTAAGCACAAGAAAATACCATTCTGTAGGAAACCTAGTTTGACGCCCACGCATTTTGCTATTAGTTGTTTGTTTCATGGTGTATAAGTCTTGCTCTATCGTAGTTATGGCCTCTTTGGAAACTAGAAGGATTACCCTCTATTAGATTAAGTTATGTCATATTCGCTTATCTTGGAACATGGGCACACTTAAATATTGATGGATTCCGTTAGTTTAGCATATCAATGATACACTCAATTTGAGGGTTTGCATTTAGTTTAGCTTGACAGTGATTCTACTTGTGTTATTTAGATTGCATAAATTATTGTTATATTATTGATATTTTTTTAATGTTTTTTCATCCAAATGTCGTAACAAGCATTATGTAATCAAGCAATGATGAATGAGAGCTAGCTCTAGTCGAATGTCTTGGGTTTGATTTTTGCTAGGGATCCTTCATTGTTTGGTTATATTATATGCAAGTTCCTTCCCCCATAAGCTATTTTTTTGCCCCCCAAAAAAATGACGATTATTCAATCAATCAAATAAGTTATAAGCCTCACTAAAATGAAGTGGCAAATTACTTTTCTTTCCTCAAATTTTGTGAAGTAGACGGAGTTTTCCGTAAATAGAGCGTCCTGGAGTTGGTCGGTATTCATTTTTAATACTATTTCTCTTTTATGCTTTCTTGAGGTCTGAACTTTCCTATATTTTTTCAGAACGCATGGAACAGAGAAAACCTGCAATGGGGAAGTGTTCCTTAATAGCATGTTTGAGGGCTCCAAAAGATTATCCGATTATGATGAACTTGCAGATTTTCTCGAGTGTAAGACGGGGAAAAATTATTCAAAGTGGTTGAATAACCGCCAAATATATAGAAAATGGAGGTATCAGAAAAAAAAAAATTTAAGAAAGAGTAAGAAGGAAATATTATGGAAGTCTTCTAAGTGTAAATTGAAGCGACAGAAAATTTGTACGTTTATGAAGCATTGAAGGTGATAGATCTGATCAATCTGTGCCCCGAGTACATGTAAATATATAACCTATTGTTTCTTGGGCTCCCCGCTCGTGTTAGCTAAAATTTAGTTCAAATCTTGCTTGGTGGATTCAATAGCAAGCAAACAACTTTTTTGGTCTTCTACAACCAAACTCCTGAACAACTACTCTTCCACCGGAGGACGAGAGCTTATATTATGTACGCAATTTTGCATGAAAATCCATATATTTGAGGAGAAAGCGGCAAACAACTATCCAGGTTACATGTTTCTGCTCTTCTCTGTAATCGTAAGCTGGTCTATGCTAATTATAAGCACGATTTAATGATGTATGAGCAGCATCAAGACTCGTGTTTAAATTCTTCTTATACTAAGCAAATTTTAAGTAGATAGAAATATTGAAGGTATAATTTTATAAATGATAATAGTGAATTAATTTGAATTTGAAAAGATTTTGGATGGACCAGTTAACGACCAGTGTGATTAATAAGCTTTTACAAATGATTGCGTCCCCTTAAAGGGGTCATGTAGCAATACTAATAGGATCGTTTTTTTTTTACTTCTGATTAGGCTATAATTGATCAAGAGTTCACGAAGTACTTGATGTCTGTGATCGAGTGTAATGGAAGCCAAATTTAGCATTATAATTGATCAATATAAATTAGTTTATCTAGGTTAAACTCGAATTTCCGCAGTAAAATAACCCCCAAAAGTGTCTTCAAAACTGTATGTAGTTTTTGTCCTAATATCAATTACTTATATTATTTCATCTGATCTAACTCGTTTTACATACCCATACCGAAAATGAAGATGACAAAGTTCGACGTCACATAGTCCCAAAAAATATAGAAAAACGAGAAGAAAGGCCTTTAACTTTTTTTTTTTTCCTTGATAGCAAGTAATTTTTTTTCCCATCTAAATTACAAGAATGATATTTAATATTATATATATATATATATATATATATATATATATTATTTCAAAGTTTTATCAATAAATTGACTCGTTGTTTATTTCACCATATAATTTACTTTTATCATTACAAAATAATAGTAGTATTACTATTTTTATTTTTTAAATACTTTGTTTAGGAGGAGAGAGAAAAAAATTGAAGGAAATGAGAGAAAATAAGTGATAATTAATTTAATAAGAGATATGTAAAAAATCATGTAAATTTTATAATTGTTTCATAAAACAAAAATAAGTGAGAAATGGAGAGAAATTAATATTTTAAAATTGTATTTTATAGTTAAGTTTTTACATAAAATATATATATATATATATATATATATATATATTATATAGAAATATAATCGATTATACAATATAATATATTAGCTTAATAACATATTAGAATATGATATATTGATTGTTGAATAAGACATCTTTTTATAAGGTATTAATGATCTTTGTCTAATTTCATGAAAATCCCTAATGTGATAGGATGATTTTAATACTCTAAGCTCATACTTTATTTATTTATAACAAATCTCCTTTAATTCACCACCATCAAACAAGAGTGTAAGTATATTTTTAGATTTAATGTAAAAAATAGTATCCTTTTAAAATTTATATATATAAAAATCTCTTAATTTCCTTAAAATAATTTCAAAGTTTTCTATTTTTTGTTATAATAAACATATATTTGTAGTAAATATATAAATCAATTATAAATTTAGATTAAAAAGAGAATAATTTAAAAAATAGTTTGTGATTAATTAACTATTTTTTTAAACGATTATGTGCACGGGTTAGATAAGACTATTAATAATGATAAAGTTCTCTTTATAAAATACTAGTAAGAATACTTCATACCTCTATATATTTATTTTTAAAAATATTTTAAAAAAAATTTATTAAATCTAAAGATAATAATATTAAATATAAAAATCAAAATCAAAATGGTAATTATCAAAATTTATTCCTTCATAGATAATATTAAAAGGGTTCGGGGGCATTAATAATTATACACTTGTGTGTAATTATTTAAAAAATTATAAAAAAAATTTTACATTTGAGAAATATATTTGAGAAATATAATGATGAGATTAAAAATGATACGTATCCTTTTTATAACAAGTATAGCTTTAACATAGTTGCATATTATTATAAAATAAAAAAAACCTTAGTTATGTATTTAATATTCAAATTCAGGATTTTTTTTTGTTAAATTAAAATAGTCGTGTTGTTGATTTGCGTGTCGTAGTGATGCAGTTACACATTTTAGAATAGAGAAAGTATTTAACTGTAATGAGAAAGTAATAACTAAGAATAAAGAAATTAAAGGAAGCTGTAACAAATCGGAAACTTGTAAGTGATCGGATTGAAAAGCAAAGCATGGGGCCGTGACTGTGACTCCATTCCATTCCCATGGCACCGTCCTCTCCTCCGCTGCTCGACAATTCCGACGCCGAGCGCCGACTTCGCGAGGCGGAGGAGCGCCTCCGCGACGCCATCGAGGAGCTCCAGCGCCGCCAGCGTCGCGCCGCCGCTCATGCTCATCACCACCGCCGCGTCGACTCGCCGCCCTGCGATCACGGCCCCGACGAGTCGTGCGTCGCTCACGCCATTGGCAACCTCTGCCAGACCTTCCTCCTCTCCTACGGCGTCAGAGTCGGCATTGGCATACTCCTTCGCGCCTTCAAGCTCGTTCGCAGACAGTCCTACTCCTCTCTCCTCGATCTCAAGGTTTGTTCAAATCAAATTAGGGCTCCTATTCATGGCATTGATTCTTTCTACAATCAGAATTTTGGCACGTCTCAGATTTGTGGTTTGCGTGATTAGCCGAAGCATTTTATCCTAAAATTCAGTTAACTTTTTGTTTTTGTCGGAGTAGGTTTTGATCGGAACGAGTAGAAGATAATAGAAATGGTGTTCTGGAATAGTTTCAAGTAGATTTTGACTCAACTGCGTTTTCGATTTTTCTTTTCTTTTAATATATTCTATTCAATTTAAATTGATCAGCAGGATAGGATTTTATTCAGTTCGGTTTCAGATGCTGATATTATTGTGTGGAATGGTTGAAGCTTTGTAGGTTTCAGTTGTTGTTAGGTAATATGTATGTAACATGGATGTCTTGGATGCATTGTAGATGTTAGCATCTATGTTTTTATACAAGTAGCGAATGTATGAGGTTATTTATGGATATTTGTTTTGTTTGCAGCAACTTGTTTCAGAAAAAGATTTAATAGTAAGGGAAGAAGCATGCCGTATAGGTTTACTTTTTGGTGGTTTCACTGGATCTTATCATGCTCTTAGATGTTTGCTGCGAAAGTTGAGAAAGAAAGAGGCGCCGCTTAATGTGTAAGTTGCAACTCAAACTGTTTACTCGGTTTATTTTTAAAATACTTGGATATTGTTTTATGCTTTCACGTTTGCACGTGTTGCTTATTTATGACTTTGTTTGAGGGGATGATGGAACAGAATTTTAGCAGGTTCAATAGCTGGATTCTCAATTTTGGCGTTAAATGATTCAAATAGGAGACGTACACTGGCTTTATACCTGTTGGCTAGGTTAGCTCAGGTATTTGAAAGTGCATACCCAAAATGATTTCTGAGCAATCTGACTTACGTGGATGTATTTAATACATTTTTAGCCTCTTAAAATGATCTGCATTTGCCAGGCTAATACGTATTCTTATATATCAGTGTGCTTATAATTCTGCAAAATCTAAGAACAAGTTTCACCTTTGGGGGAGTCATTGGAGACATGGAGACTCTTTGCTGTTTGCCCTTGCTTGTGCACAGGTATTCACACATTATTCTGTCTTTTCATGCTATTTTTTTTTCTTTTACTTATCACCCTTGTAAATCATAAACTTTGTGTAGCCTGATAATTGATATCAGTAGAATAGCATTTTTATGTAAACATTGAAGCATTTTTATGTAAAGAGGCAATGCTGTTTGGTGCGAAAGCTTTTGCATTAAGTTGTTACAAGTACCTCATAACAAATCATAATCAGTGAGAGAAAAAAAAATGAAAAATAGGTAATTGACAAAATGCAACAAACTTTTTTTTTACTTTTCTCACTAGTAATTTCGTGAGAACACATCTGTACCATTTGGCATTTTTCTTGTGAATATCCTAGAGAAGCCTGTGTGAATGTTTATTCTATGTTTTACTTTTGTAAGGTCCATGTAGTCGATTCCACATAGGGAGATAACTCTTAGTTGTTGTATAAAAGAATGGAAAAAGAAGTATAGAGATAAGGTTGTAGGGTGAAGTACTGTAGTTTAAATGAACAACTTGTAGACAAAATCTGTAAGGCACCACGAGATGCCCCACCCACCTGTAGTTTAAATGAACAACTTGTAGACAAAATTGTGGCTTAAAGTAGCGTCCCTGACTACCACTCTGATTATTCCTAATGTGCGTATAACATCCCTATGCCCATTATAAAGTATAATTGTATAACTACCAGTTGATGTATTTTAAGTTGATTATTTCTGCTGAGATGCTTTACGGATTCCTTAATGTATGTAAAATATTTGTTGTTATTGTTTTCATGTAATTTTTTTAAAAAAATTTATCACTTCTCATCTACTGTCATATTTCATAGAATTACTTTTAATAATCTATCAATAAAAAATTTATTTCAGGTTATGTATGCCTTTGTAATGCGTCCTGAGAGCTTGCCAAAATCCTATCAAGACTTCATTCAAAAGACTGGGCCAGTTGCAGAGCCTGTATACAAGGCTGTAAGGGATTCCTGTAGAGGTCATCCAGTTGATGTTGCTTCACTGCATACCTATTTATCTCATACAGGAAAATCTGAATATATAAAGTTGGAAGAATTTCCCTCCATTATTCCGTGTTCAATCATTCATCCAGGAACAAATTCATGTTTAGTTCATCAAGGAAATGCAACATCCACAACGTTTAAGAAAACATTCCCGCTTTACTTCTCTTTGACCTTTGTGCCTTTTGTTGTTCTTCATTTACAAAAGGTATTCTTTTACTCAATTATTTTAGTTACTTTTATATCAGCAAATGAAATACTTGCATAGGTTATGAAGAAAATAGTGTCATGTAAAAAATAACATGTGCATAATTATTAAGTGTTTATTGCAAGCGTCCTTTCTAAGTACTCTGCTGAAGATTAATATAGTTAATCAAATTGCTTGTGTTCGATATATAATTGTTTTCTGTGAAAATATAAAATTAACTTTATGCCCATTACATTGCCACTGCCATCCTAGTTTTAGTTTAAAGTAAAGTAATACTCATAATTCATAATGCACATTCATGATTGAAATTGTTATTTTTCCTTTTCATGCAATTTGGGCTGAGAATAATTAAATGAAGAGCTTCTAAAAGTTCCATACAAATTTCTAGTTTCTTAATGATGACTTCTTATACATAGACTCCATATCTCAATACTGCTAAGATGCACTCGTTAAGGTGCCTCAGTCCTTGCAGTACGAATGAATTGGTTCGTTGGGGTTTAGGAGGTCAAATTTGTATGATGATTCACTTTTAATCTTGGTTTCATTATTGATATTTTTCTTTCATCATTTCATGATTTTTTTTTTGATATATTCAATATCATTGCAAGATTATAAGGTTGAAATAAATGTTATGCTGAAGTCTTGCTAGCTCTAAGATTGAGTTGTTTTTGTGCTATGAATAAGATCATGAAATTAGAAGTTATAACTAAATTATACACATACTGCCTTCCCTCTACATCCACCAATGCCACAACTGCTTTTATTTCTGACATTTCTGTAACTTTTGTCATTGCTATTGTTATTTTTATCATTTATTTTTGCTGACAAGAAGGTTTATGGTTCCAGTTCACTGATGCTCCATTCCGTACTTTCTGGCTTGCTGTTAAAGGTGCTGTTCGCTCGACAACATTTTTGTCTGCTTTTGTTGGAATCTTTCAGGTGTATTTTTGTTGTTGTTATTATTAATAATAATTTGTTTTTATTGATAAATGTAATATTAATGTTCTTTGTGTCATTCTGGTTATGCAGGGAGTCATATGTTTACATAGAAAAGTTTTTTCAAGAGATCACAAGCTTGTATATTGGATAGCTGGTGGAATATCTGCCTTATCCGTGCTATTGGAGAAAAAGGCTAGGCGTGGTGAGCTAGCTTTATATGTTCTTCCCAGAGCAGTAGATTCATTATGGTATATCTTGGTGAACAGGCACCTCCTTCCAAAAATCAGGAATGCGGAGGTATGTCCTCTAGTTACTTTGCACTGAATTAAAGGAATCTTTTTTCTGATCTGTTTTTCTAGCATCCTCCAAAAATTAATTTTCTGGAGCCCTAGGGACAACCACACTTTTTTATGAAGTGAAAGTCAGTTTTTACTGTTGAGATCCCTTTAGATGTTTTTTGAGTTCCAATATCCGTGCAATTAAGAGAATGTGAGAATATTACCCTCCATGTCTCAAGTGGCAGTATGCGTGCCTTTGCTGGTCATTTATCTGTCTTTCCCCGTATCCATGATACATGTTTTCATTTATCAACTTGTACAGGTTTTCTTGTTTTCTCTGTGTATGGGAGGAATCATGTACTACTTGGAACACGAGCCAGAAACCATGGCTCCATTTCTTAGGGGCCTGATCCGTCGCTTCCTTGCCAGCAGAATCAGCAATCCAAGCCCACCATCTAATCGGACTGCTTCCTACACATACCTGCAAGCTCTTGATGGTATGACACAACCAACATTACAGGAGAAGAGGGATACTGAATCTTCTTCCCAAAAGTACAATCTTGAATCCATTCCTGGCCTTTAACATCTTTTTTTTCGGGTTGGTAGCTCTGAACTGCTGTTTCTTTGATTAGGTAATAGGATATCTTGTATCGGGAATCAGATTCTATATCAATTTCATTGATGGTTCCCCATTTTTTTTTATTGATTGCTAATGAAGGTGAAAGCTTTCTAATTATGTGCGAAAAACAAAATAAAATAAAAAGAACGTGATCAATGGAACAATTGATTTACATTATATTCTGGAAAATACAAATACTACCCATAAGGTTCAAATCGACAGTTAAGTTACGGCTTTATTCTTATGTGGATTGTATTGATTTAAAACTTTAAATCCATAAATTAATTAAAACGAGAGGATTTAGAAATTCTTAATTGCTTATTTGGTACTATTGGCTTTTAAATTTTCATTAAATGACTTGTTATTCAATTTAAACTTGGACAATTTGAGGTGCTAATAGTCATCGCAATTACAAACTTCGATTATTAATATATTGTTAGCTTGAGTGAGGCTGAATTCAAGAAATTAAAATATGATTGTTTTCAAGGCTTGTAGATGAAAAATAAAATGGTAAAGAGAAAAGATTTCGGGATGATTGGTTATGTTATTTTGACAAAGATTATTCATTAATAAAGTTAATGAATGTTTTGAACAAATAACATGTCGATTTAAAAAAGCATAATAAACTTCGATTAATTGAGTTATGTATGTTAATATTTTTTTACTGCAATAAAAATCATTTGTTACGAGGAAAAATGTTCCGTGTTTTGTGGAGGAATTTTCTCTAGTTCATCCCACGAAGTGAACCGTAGTAGGGAGATTGTATGCTTGGAAAAAGTTTTAACGTAGTGTAATTATTGGTAATTATTATTTTGGTTTATATAGTTGAATGATTTGGTTACAAACAAGCTATTAAACAACCATCTGCAAATTTACGAGTTTTCCATTTACTTTTTGGCTGAAACGAATACATGGTTTGAATATAGTGTATAAATTATTATTAAAGAAATACAATTATTGACCCAGCTAAAATGCAATTAAAACAATGATTTTCATGCAAATAGGTAAATATAAATACTTTGAACTTATCCTTGTAAAAACAGAGCTTTAGATTTTAATTCGTTAAATTCCTATAATTTCTTGAGTGAACTAAGGGTAGTTCGCAGTGAGTGATATTTTTTAAGCAATCCTACACTCATTACAAAGACCCGCTCAAAAATATAATTAATATCAAAGAGTTGATAAAATTGAACAAGAACAAAAGTTGTATCTCAGAAGACTTTGCGGCCCATTGTTGATTAATGTAGACGTGTCAACATCTTAATGCTCAACTTTGTTAGTTTGATGCGTATACACAGCACCACTTTAGAGGCCCTACTAATCCGAAATTATAAAATATTTTACAACAGAACACTCAAATCGGTGATACGGAACAATGACTACGTATTCAACAATAGCATTTCCATCCAAAAGACGTAACCTTATAAATTATACGCGATAGTTTTCCACATGATACAACCGAAACTTTGCTACCTGATATTTCGCATGTTAATTTTGTTCAACACTGTTTTTATTTTATAAAATCCATACGGTATGTTTATATTTTAACAGGATATGTACAAAATATAAAGAAAGAAAACAAATGTGATAAGTGATAACATACAGAAAATAACTGTTCCAATATAACTTTAGTAGTGGATGATAAAAATCCACTAAGGCCCACATAACTATTTACTTGACCAAACTAGCTTGGTCTTCAATATACAGAAACTGGAAAGGAGAATCAGAAGAATACCCCTACTGGATTCTTACAATGATTTGTACTGCTCAATAAGATGAGATGCATGGAGCCGGGAAGTAGGTGTCAAGGTGCAACCCAGTTTTTTCAAATATGAAATCTGCAAAAACAATTGATAGTCCTGTCACTTCCAAGACAAGATTTACATGCTTAACGATACCCGTAAAAAAGCACAACAGTCCCATCTCTATACCCAATCATTATCAAGAAATATTAAAGAAAGTTATCCTTAGGTAATGAGGTAAAAAATTTGATTCCTCAAAAAGAAATCAACAACAAAATAAAGCCAACGTTGGAAAAAATTTCATTTTAGTTGTCCTTTTAAACGAAAGTCGAAACATAGATGATAGATCATTAGCAATGCTAAACTTGTTTATAAAGAATAAAATTGAAGATGCTTTCTATAAATATGCCACCAACACCGTTAAGTATTAAATTACTAAACAAAAGGAATGAATTTACAAACAACAAAGAAAAAGTGAAAATGGTAAAAATTAAGATACGGAGTAAACTAGCCAATTCTAATCATAGAACTTGTTACTACAAAACCAACAAAATAAAATTTCAACTTGTTACCACAAAAACATTGTTTATAAGGGTAACGGTAGGTTGCATTAGGCTAATCTAGTAAATCACGAGCAATGCAAAAACAAATAATTCATCTATAAAAAATTGATTTCACAGTAAATATAGTTTTTTACAACATGAATGTAAAAAGCAACTTAAAATAATTCACGTGACTAATACATTTTATGTTAAATTTTATCTTAAAACTAATTGATATTAAATGAAGTTGGACAATATATATATAAACATATCCGAAAAAATGAGACAGAATGTAAGACTTTCCATCACCCCTAAATACTAAAGAAATCAACAAATTGGCATTAAGTGCTAACATGGTATCATAGTTTAGAGTCCATCTTCTTGATTTATTTATTCTGGTGGGCATAGCCTAATTCGGCAAGCGTCCGTGGAGTGGGGATGTTATGCAAGTTTCACATTGCCTTCCTTAATTCTCGAGGTGCGATTTATATATTTGTTAGACAACATGTTAATTGATTTTAAGATGAAATTTAACATTTTGTAATTCTGGAAACAAAATAAATTTGTTCTTGAATGAATCTGATTATAATTGCATATTTTCTATATTTCTATGAAGTTTCGTATGATGAATAACTTCATACCTTTTATATACCATACACCGCAAGTTAAGAATGCAAAATTATTAAAATGAAAGAACTAACATGTCCTGTCACCGTTAATTGTTACCTGCTTGTCAGTTGGTATTGCTGAACCCATTGCATTTTCAATCTTTAATTTCAGAAAATGTTCCTGAAAAGTGCAAAACATACTCTACTGTTTCATTACAACATCAAAACGACGGTAATAATGGGTTGCTATGTTTATACCGCATCCCAAGAAAACAAATAGTTTTTGTGCAAACTAGTCGGTTGCTGAGGAAAACTACATAAACGTTTTGCACAGTTTGGGGAAGTATAAACTTATTAAGACCATAAATTAAAGGATCTCGTTGAAATTATTTACAACAGAAGAAAACACTGGATTTTGAATAATATGAGATGATGTAATATACAAATTATTCACATCAATATATACTAATATTCTAGGTCATGTACTAGTTTAGTATGTACTTCCTCTATTATCTATTGTAAGAAAAGAAAATGATTTCACACATATTAAATAAATTAATTATATGTATTAAATTTTACCAATTTCATAATATGGTTCCAAAATTATCTTTGTTATAAATGCCAAAAAAAAAATAATGCTACTGAAAGATTATAAGTTAAAAGAAGAGTATATTAGAAAAAGTACTATTAAATAAGACAAAAGTAATTGAAATTTGCTTATATTTATAAAAAAAATGTGTGCTTTGTTATTTATAATAGAGAACGAAATATATAACTAGTACTTACAGGTAACACAAAAAGGATACTAATATTCTAAAAAAATCTCATAATAATCCAAATAAATAAAAAAGTAAAAATACAGCAAACCTGTTTTTCCCTCATAAGATGAGCACGTTTATCAGCA